GCCCCCTCTCCCCAGTTGGCAGCCTGCGGCAAGTGCAGCCGGGCTGATGACCGAGTGCTGTGATGTGCCCAGTGTGGATACTCCGGGCAATCCAAGCCAGGACTGCTTTGCAAGCTGGGCACCCCTGAGAACTGTCTGTCCGGGGTAGGGGTCGGGTCCCTTTAAGCACAGCCCTCGGCTAGCCTGAGACAGCAGCTCCACGCTCTAAGTCCTCATCTGATGCCCTGCCGGCACGGCTTCCGGCCATCGTTAACCCTGGTTCAGGGTCCACTTAATGTGGACATGCTAGTTTTAATTAGCAAAACGCTAATTCGAACTAGTTTTTTAGTCTGGATGCATTAGTTCAAATTAGCTTAGTTCGAATTAACTAATTCGAACTAAGTTAGTTCGAATTAGCGCTGTAGTGTAGATATACCCTATGTTACAAATGTAATTTATCAATTTTTAAGAATAACTAGATAATAAGGATGTTAAGTATCGGGTAATAGATAGACCGAATTTCAGAGCCCAGTATCAGGCTCCCCATGGCATTTCAAAGCATCAGTGCGCTTGGAGCCTGGGATCAACTGGGGAGTGCCCAGCTCACCCTGGGATCCACGCAGTGCTGCCACTTTGAAATGCCGCAGGGAGTCTGCATTTCAAAGTGGTGAGCTGGAGTCCGCAGCTGATCCCGGGCCCTATGTGGGATTTCAAAGTGGATGGAGTCTGGGGTCAACTGGGGAGTCCACAGCTGATCCCAGCCTCCACACTGTGCTGCTGCTTTGAAATTTGTGAGGTGCCTGACACCAGGCTCCCCGTGGCATTCAAAGTGGCAGCATTGCACAGAGCCCGTGGTCAGCTGGGGAGTCCCCAGCTGATCCCAGGCTTCAAGTGGTGTTGCCACTTTGAAGTACTCCCCTCTTCTCCACTTCCTTGCTGCCTCTATTTAATAGAGACAACAAGAGGGAGGGGAAGTGACTAGTCGACTAGTCCTTCACATCTCTAGTAGGTAAAACCTGTTATGGCTCCAGATGCATTGTGGTCTCTTGCATTTCAGCAATAGCTCTTTGTGTAAACTTTATTTGATAACATCATACTTCAAGAATTTGAAAGAAAATATTAAAGACACCACTACACTGTGCTATCCCTTGGAAAAACCCACTTGGTTCCCAGTAAACTTCATGAGATCAACCTTTTGGAGTTTGTTCCAATGAGTGGGGCTGACTACCAGTGGCTGGGAGCTCTGAACCCCTTTGACTCTCCAGGCAAGGGTGTAGTTTCTGGAGGGCAGCAGCCGTGTACGCTGGGACCCAGCTTGCTTTTCATCCCATTCTCTGGACTGTCAGGGAGTGAGGAGAGAGTACTTACATTCGTTGCATGCCTCTCACATCTGGCTGGTGAAGGTGAGCTCACTAGCCAGGTGTGAGAGGCATGCACAGACTGCAAGTACTTTCTCCTCACTCCCTGATAGTCCGGGGAATGGGATGAAAAGTAAGCTATGTCCTGACGCTCACGCATGCTGCCCCCTCCCCCACTCTCTGACATTCTGCCCTTGTCTCCAAGCCCCTAGGCAATTGCTCTCTTTGCCTCTTGCCTTGTTGGTGGGCCTGGTTCCAATAATTATTACTTCTGTTGAGTCTTCTTCACAGTTAGCCAATGGCATAATGACTTGTGAGGAAGCTATGCTGGCAAGCAAGAGAAAGGAAGGCCTTTCATTTCTGAATGAGAGTATGTGTGTGCTGCAAACCCCTGCACCAGGGTCAGCTGATTGGGGCTCATATTGCTGTTTGTTTGCAGTTTAGAGTTTGAGACTTGGGCCTCTACCTCAAGCCTGAACTTTTACACAGCCCCATAAAAAGACAGCCCCATAGCCTAAACCATATGTGCTTGTGTCAGGTGACCCAGGCCATGTCTGGTGTTTAATTGCTGTGTAAACATACACAGAGAGGCTAGTTTCCTTACAGAAGTCACAGGATCCATGGGGCTAGGAGCAGCGTTCCCCAACTTCCACAGATTTGGACCCAAAGTCAGTTATCCAACAGCATATTTAACTCTTGCACAAAAGATCTGCAGGGTTCAGAGGAAAGCATACTTCAGAATGAAGCTGCTACCTACTCTTCCTCTTCTACTTTTAGCAATCCCAAGACAATGGAGTTGGGGGAGGAGCAGAGAGGTTTCTCTAGGAGTTGTGTTTTGTTAATAATAATAGATTCATTTTCCTGAAAGGTGTTAGACATGGCAAGTTCTGAAGTATTGTGATTATCTGTATACATTGAATGTATGGTATGTAGTGAGAGAACCATATTAGAAAGTCCTTCAAAATTTATTTTGGAGTGTTACATGAGAAAATGATGACATTGAAAACAGATAGAAATAGATGCTGCTTTTAAGATCAGATCTGAAAGAAGACAATTTATGGTAGATGCAAGTAGAATAGAAACTGCTCCAATATGCTTTTGAGAGTCAAGAAAAGATCATGTTGTTTATTATAACTGCTTTTTTTCCCACTGTGTGATCAAACCACAGGAATCAGAAGTATACAATGGGTTTTACACAGAGACATGCAGTTGTTAGAATCTGCAATAACAGGTCAGATCAGAGATCAAGTACTGTTAGGAAAAGTATTTGTTTCCTATGGCTTTCCAGAAAGGATAATGTCACAGCATATATGGTGGACATATTTAGAAATAAATGACAGTCAATCCACACAGCTTGTCTTCAAGGTAATGTGTGTGTGTATATATATATATATATGTTTTTCTGATGGGATGAGGACATTAGTAACGGAAATTAGTTTATACATAATTTCCACAATGAAATAACTGAATATCTACAAAGAGGATTTCTACCTTAATTAGAACCCTTTTGTTATTTCGTTTTAAACATGGCCTGAATTTACAAAGAACAACTCTGTGATATGTATATACATACATTCATCAATACACATAGTATTTTTATGTTTCTATGCATGGATACATATATACACATACTATATAGTCACGTATATATCCAAAGAGACACATTTTTATAAGCACATGATATACTTATCATTTTACTGTAACTTCTTATTATTCAGCTATTGTTTCTCATTACATATATCATGGATATTGAAATTCAAGTGTGATAAGCCCATCTTATTTTGCATTCACCATACTAAGTGCACAATAAAGAACAGGTTCAGTCCTTCATAAAACCAGAAAAATTAAATTTAAAACTACAACTTTCCTCATGATGAATTATATTTGTGTGCAGGAAGATGGAACTGTACAATTCAAGTGTGATACCATATCTATTGGGAAAACAGTCCTTCTCCAAGCACTGTGGTATTTTAACAAGTTGCATGGTGCTTGTCATACCTAATTGAGAAGCTGTCAAATCATAACCCTTCTGTTAATGTAGTCCCATGTTTATACAGTAAGAGGGATTTCTTGGCATTATAAATTTGGTTTTAGTAGTTGCTTTCCTTTGTTCTCTTTCTTTTTATTACTTTTATGATTTTATTAATAAACTAGTTGTCACATTTCAAGCTAATTTAACATATAATGATTGCTTGTTCTGTTTTGTTGTTTTCCAGCTCCCTCAGGCACAAAAGGTAAACTATTTTCAATCAAATCTTAATCATTCAAAGAAATCACCAACTCTTCATTTTTCCACAGTGTTGTGAATATGGGGCAGTGGCGATCAGTGAAATGATTCATCATGTCAATGCTCTAGTAGTGGAATGGAGCAGCAAGTGGAATCAAAGCTGTGCATTGTGAACAGCTGAGCCACCTGCTGAGAGCTGCAATTCAAACACAATGTAACAGCTAATTGAACAAAATGGACAAGCAGTGGCCTGCTACTTGAGCACAACAGGGGAGCCATTTTGTCATCCATTTGAAAATTATAGGCAAACATCAAATTGACATGATTGGCCCAAGTAAACCATCCATGGACCCTTGCATTCTCTGGTGGAAGAGCAATGAAACCCATGGTATGGCCTTGTCTTTCACTGGTCCCCATTGTGTTGTCCATTAAAAAACCTCTTGATACATCCAACATAATTTGTCCAAATAGCTTTCATATAGTGTGCTCTTGCTCTTGTACAGCTTCCGCTTTGATATGGTATGATACCAGAGTCCCTATTACATCTCAAGATATCACAATGATTGTGATGAAAACATATCACTTGATGCCTGTTGCATCATTCTTGTATAGTTCACAAATATAATCAAAACTTCAATACAATAATCACAAAATTTAGGGTATGATTTTGTGGTTTACATGCAATGTTATAAAATCAATGAGTTTAACAGGCTTACCTTGAACTTACAATATTCCCAATTCTTCTAGTTCATAAACCACTTGCAGTATGAATAGGTACTAAGTATTATTGTTACTTATAATCTTAGGTGAAGATATGAATCCAGTTCTAAGTAAGAGATAGAAGACAAATGCTCTTTTGAATGAAAAGTTTGTTCAGATTGAATGCACACCTAGAAGCCTGCAGATCTTTAAAAGATTGTTTAATAATTTGAACTTTTCATTATGATACTATATAAATTTGAGATCTTTATTCAGGGATCTCAGCAAATCACAATTCCAACTCCAGAGGTAACATGCTGTCATGTGACACTGGGTTACATCCACAATCTGTTTTTAAGCTCAGACAGTAATGGCAGAGTGCACAGTGGGAATGTAGTGTGATACATAGTGAAAAATAGGAAATACATCATTTTTAAAACTGATGGTTTAATGCCTCCTGAATAAGTGGTAGGCAGGAGACTGCCTAACTTTTCAGCTAGAGTACAGCCTTTTTGTTTACTCCCATTTGTCTAAGAGTGTCAGTGAAATGTTTCTCTAACAATTTGAACACAGAAGAAAGAGAGGGGTTACAAAAGCTGCTTCATAAATACATATCCCCTTCAAGATTCTAAAAAAGTTTGGCAGATTGTGTCTTGTGATTTCTGGTCATGTGTCCTGATGTGCTACAATGTTGAAATATCAAATAATGTTCCACCACAAATTACTATTGTTCCAGGTCAGTAAAAATTACTCCCAGCTTCCATACAAGACCTCAAAACCCATTTTTCAATGTGTTACCCCTAAACCAGATTATTGCAGAATTAAAGCCATATGCACTTTTTTGTTAGACTGTGCCTTACTTATAGGGGAAGGGGGCAGGGAAGAGGACAGTTACAAATAATCCATGAGGGCTTTTGATATTTCACCTACCAGGTAATAATATGGTATTTTTAAATTATAGCTTGGTTAATTTTAGAAAGATTATAGGTTTTGCTACAAGATTTACTTGTCCGTCATTCCGTATTGGCTGTATAACCTGTGGTGGTCCTTACCAGCTCCCAAAATTAGGCTTTATGTTCCTGATTTGCATAGTAACATTATACCAGTCTTGCTCACAGTAGCATGCTTCTTTCTTCAGCCTCCAAATTCACCGGATTCCAATCTCTTGGACCTTTTGCTGCTCTCCTGCAGCGCACTGTGCTTAAAGGCAACATTGTTACTCAAAATGTATCTTTGTGGCTGCTTCTCCCCAAGCCTGTAAGTTCATCTACCGGCTGAACCTCAGCAGATTTCTCTGGTACCCCCGTCCTAATTTATTATGATGCCAAATCTTGTCAGTCTAGAGCTACAAAGGATTGCCCATTAGTATTTCTCACTCTTACCCGCAGCTTGCTGCAGATTTGTATCAAGCAATACAAAGTTGCTTGTTGGTTAAAGTAAGTTATTATGTGAAATTTCAGATGTAAATCAGGCTTCGTGGGTAACTAATTTGAGTGTTTTCTTTTCTCATGACATGCAATATAAGAAAATGTTTAACATCCAGAAATTTGTTTCAGCCAATCAAATCTTGGTGAGCACTTTCCATATCAGGGAAGCCCTTGCTGTTTGCGGGGTGAAGGGGAGCAGTACAGGACTGATGCACATCTTTATGAATGTCTTTGTTACTAGTGCACATGTTCTCTCATATGATGTCTGAACTTTGTTGTTTTTTTGGAATCTGTGTCTCCTCTGTGAATGTTTTCTCTATAAACATTTCAAACAGTCACCTCTCTATAAACATGCTTACTGTAATCTTTTGAAGATCTAAAATACAAATGTACCAACCAAGTTTACCTTTAGTATTTTAGACCTATCATAAGTCTTTTGTCAACTTTATAAAATCTTTTGAGGTTTTTTTGAATGTCACAACTATGGACAAAGTAAGTGTTTAGTCATTGTTCTATAGCCATTAGCTATCCACCGAGAAGCTTGTTCCATTTTAGTTTGTAGGAATGAAATACAAATCAAAACCTATTGTGTAAATTACTGTGAAATCCAATATGGAACTAATAATTGTAAATTCAAAACTGGACTGGAGGTGATGTGAAGTGGGTGCAGTTTAAGTCAGCTATTTATTGTACCTTGGTCTTTAGGAAAAACCATAAAAGTCTTGTAAATTGACAAAGGAAAATGTCACAAATATGGTAGTAAACTTAATTTAGTAATGGTTCTGTTTTTAATATTAGCCCACAAAAATGAGAGTGGCAAGAACGATCAATCAGCAAACACCCCAAAGAGCTGTGCAAATAATAATTTAAAATACATCTGAAATTTAATCATTTTGCCAAATTTCACTTGTTTTCCATTATGACTTTGAAAACATTCTTGGGCCAAATGTTTGTGTGGAGGGAAATGTCATTTTTCTGAAATATGAAGTTAAAGTAAACCACAGCTTTGAACCAGTTTTGAATGGCAATTGATTCACTTGTGCTTCATAGAATAGCAAAAAACTATTCTTGTTTAATGGCCCAACTGGGTCCTTTGTTTCCTGTTAGAAATAGTTTTACTTGCTTTCTTGAACAAACACAGCAGGATTCAAGATCTACTGTCCTACTCCTGCTGTGATATTTTGTTCTACTTAACTTGTATGAAGAGGCAGAAGTGTATAAATTAGACACAAAAATTGAGGTAGATAGTTATAAGAACACATAAGGGTATTTTAAAAATCATCTGGGGTTTTTAAATCTATTTTTAGTTAAAGAATTCATATCTCCTGCAAATGTTTTTTTTTAAATGTGGTGATGTTTGTTTCCCAGAGTTCCTGACAGTTTTCTTTTTTCTTTTTGTGTTATCCTTTAACTTGTGTAAGTAGAATGTTGCCCTCTTTTATCTTGATGCTATCATGTTTCAGCAATTTTGGAGTGTCATTTATCATTCCTCGCCTCATTTACCTTTTTATACTTTGAAGTGTTGAAACTGTCACTGGGAATAGAAAGTTGAAATTTTGCAACGCTGCTATTTTCACTTAAATGAACGACTAGCAATTTTAGCAGTTTTATTAAACTTATACAATTAAATTGAATCAAATTAAGTACAAAAGAATCATTCAGTAAATATTTATATTTGACCTTGGTTTATTGTTACTTTGATTTCCTCTTTTTTCTAATTCTGCATGGAGGTTAATGGTTTTCCCTTTTATTATCTCATATCTATAGAAGGTGCCCTAGTGGCTCTGTAGTAAGGCTACATCGAGATCTGTAATTAAAATTGTTGAATGAAGATTAAATTGTTGAAAGTAGTCTTTAAATTTACCACACATTCTTCAGGGGATTATTAGTTTTCAGTAATATTGTGTGGCCAGTGATTTACTAACATTGTCTAAATATTAGACATTTTTTACATTCTCTCCATAGATCCTATCACTAAAGGACCACAGCCTCTCCAAACTTCACACACAGAGATTTCTCTAATGTCTCTGGTCACAGTTTAAATGTAAACACAAAAGAGCTATTGCTCTTTTCCATAATAGCTTATATAGTACAACAAACAAGCCAATGGTGCCATCACATTTCACAAGCTATTTCTGTTCTCCAGCCTGTAGCAGTAGTTCAGTGCAGCATGCTCAGGCAAGATAATCAAGGAGGCAGGCTAAGCCATAAGAGGATATGGAAGAGAGGTTGATACAGGGCTGTGCAGAGTTGTCAGGGACAGAAGTGAGGCTACAGATGTGAGGGAAGGGTGAGATGAACGAAGGGCAACTCAAGGTTAGGGATGAAGGAAAATTGAGTGCGGCATCAGAATTTAAATGTCTCCCATGGGGTTACTGGCAGGTATGCCTGGATACTGATGTAGTACCATTTGGGGAGATCTCCATCATCCCCATGGTCATGTTCCCATGTTTTCCTCACATCGTCACCTAGCCATAAGGGGGTTCATCAGAGCAGAACTTCTCTTTTTTTCACTCTAAGATGCCTTATCACAAGCTCCACATCTTCCCACATATACTGGTCAGGTTCTCATATGCTGCTCCCTGTACTTCCCAACTCACTCCCATGCCCCCTGTGGAAGCCTGCTTCCACTATAGCCCATTCCTGTTATCCTATCCCCAGTGTTCTGTTCCTATTTTACTTTTGGTCTATATCACATTCATATCCAGTTTTACAGCTTTAACTCCAACTTCATACTTTCTCCTCTGGAAATGAGATACTTTGATACACACATGCTTATAGATAATTTCATGTAATCTTGAAGTCAGAGCTCAAGTTGCATGTTTCATTGTCCATGTAAGAAACTGAGTGGAGACATTGTGTTTTCTTATATGTTTCAATT